CTACTACGTAACGGTAAACGTAAGGTAGGTAGGTAGTGTCGTCTACGTGGTCGTACGTAGTACGTACTACTACTAACTAACTAACAACAACGAAGAGTTAGTGTGTCTCTCTCTCTCTCTCTCTCTCTCTCTCTCTCTCTCTCTCACACACACACACACACAAATAAATAATCACAATGGAAAGCATTAATCCCCTAAATATAAACGGATGGCTGGAGCTCATGTCTGGCCCATGACTTCCAACAGGTAAGGCTCTAGCCTGCAGGGCAAGACCTGGGCCTGGCCCATTGCCAGCCCTACCTCTTAGTTTTTCTGGGAACTTAGTATGTAAAGTGTTACAAATATTTCTGGATTTTCTAGAGGATAGAAATATAAATAGACAAACACCACTAAAATGTCTCTAGCTGATAGCATGATGACTTGATTCCAAGATTAACCTTCATAACTGAATGGAACTCAAAACATTCAGCATAAATTTCGAAGTGTTTATAAATACTCAAAAGAAAAACTTTTATTTCTCTTATATTAGTTATTCTGAAGAACAAATCGCTTTATATTTCTCGACATAATTGTGAAGCACTTACATCCAATTATGTTCCCATTCACAGAGTTCATATATTCACATGAGGATATATTGAAACTCGGATAATTAGATATCAGAGCTTCAAAGGCTTAGTCATCTGCACTTAGTCTAATCAATTGAAATTGTTGCATTGCTTTGGAGCCTATACCATACACCAATGGTGGTCATATGATACAGCAGGAGGGAATCCACCGTCAATCCTTGATGACAGGCGATTAAGATTTAAGTCCCAAAGTTTTTATCTGATGGGTAATGAAATTTTATCAGAGTAAATTATATGATACAAGTTTATGCCCCTAAATAGGGCTTACAAATGGAATAGGACAGGAAAAGACTGAACAGAAAGAGAATAAAAGTATAAAGAAAAGAAAATTAAATAAAAAAGAAAACAACAAAAACAATCCAAGTATGCACAATTAGATCTTCCTTGTCCACCCCTACATTGGCTAGTGCATCCGTCTCCTCATTCACCTCCAGAAGGATATATAGGAATGAGATTGTTTTACTGTCACAAATAGCAAACATTGAAAATCTCCACAAAAAACATCGACAAACATCAATGAATTGATTGCTTCTTCCAAACTCATCTTATAACATTGAGGCTCCTTCCATCTCTAGTGGCTAGGGTATACAAGCAGGACATGTTCTCAATCCTACCAGCAATGACTGTGCCTCAGCCTCAGTTGAATCACAATAACACTAGAGACCCGAATTTCTCCTAATTTAAGACTGCTGCATCTGTAGATACACCTCCAATACAAGCCCAGATTACCCCTCTACACCATCAAATTTCAGCTTCAACATATAACTATCCTGACCAATATACCAGTGGGTTTAGTGATGTGGGGGTTGAAGTATCACCAACATCTTATCACAAAACCCACTGCTTGATAGCCCCAAAACTCAGGCGATGACTGTGCCCGAGTAAAAGAACTGTCATGGATCCTTTCTTGGAGAGCAGAGACCCACCCATACACCCCATCCTTGAAAGGTCAAATTGTTCTTTCCTTCCACAAACCCTGCATCATAGCAAGACTACAAAGTCTCCGCATCATCTTCCCCCTATAGGCAGAGAAAAAATATCCTCTCAGAAATTCCTCCACTGATGCTGACATAACACGTTCCATCCCAAAAGAACCTAACATGTAAGACATAACGCCACTGCTATGTCTCACCATTTCGGTCCCCCACTTACAAAAATAGAGGGCCCACTTTTGAAGGTTATCTGATGCAAGAATTCTATCTTTAAAAGCTAACCAGCTAAACACCACACCCAGAATGAAGCCTTTACCCCACACCATCCTAGCCATGGCAGGACTCTCAATACCCACCTCCCTTATTAGGAACCTGTAAAATGGCTTAGCCATCATATTACCTAGCCATCAAATTACCTCCAATATCTGCCATAACTGCATCTATCTTTTGTTGCTAATGGCACAGATATATTTTCAAGTTCCAACAACATCTTAGCAATTCATTCATCTCCTCTTCTTTTAAATACCCAGAAAACCTAGGAACCTGACCTCTCCCCCATGCAAGACGACTCCTCCACCCACACACTGGGGTTAACTGCCACTCTCGTTAATGTCACATATCATTCCCCATCCCGCAACACCTATCCCACACCACAAGTCCCCCCAAACACAATTCTACTCCCATCCCCCATAACACACCAAACATGCTGACTAGATTCCTTAGCAATCAGACATATTGCCCTTCAAACAGCCAACCCCCTTGTCCTTTTTCTCACGTCCCAAAATCTTCACCCTGGCTCCCCTAACCAATATTCGGAACTAGGTCGATCCCCACCGATTCCTGATCCAGATCGATGATTCCCAATCTAGACTGGCAAATTTTAAAACACTGGTCTGAGCCATTAATCAGGACTCATCTAATCTCCTTGTCTAGATTCATTGAAACATCTTTATCAACCCACTGTTCCTTGTATTGTTGAATTGCTGCACCCATTCAGAAAATCTCTCTCCGTGCTTCCTCTGGGTTGTCAGGAACCACGAAACTGCTAGTACTAGCCTCCAAGGGTGGCAAACAAGCCTCGGTCACAACTCCTTGACTCCAGGCCCCAGCCTAAGAATTCCATAAAGCATGGGTGGAGGAGGTATGGGTAAGGAAAATGAAAAAATGTGGCAGATTTATGCCCCCTTTTTATTTTTTGTTTTGAGAGAACGGTGCTCAGGACGAGCACTGTACAGGTTTCCTACAAGTCCCCCTTTCATACACAATATTTACCTCTGCAGGGTGCCGAGGCCAAGTGTGAGTTGAGTTGGCCAATTTAGAACACAACTTCTAATTATACCCAAAACTCTGCCCCTTCTAGCAGGTTCACCAATATGTCATTTTCTCCTGGGTATAGTTGCTTAGGACAGTTGCAAAATAAAAAGAAAAAGAGAAGGAGAATAGTTGCTCAGAACTGTGGTTAATCTACACCATTCAATCATAGAGCAGAGAGTGGATACACACACCATACCATAAACATAAATCATTGGATTATGATATACTTTCCCTCTGTGAATCAGCTGCCAAACTCTTTCATGAATAAATGATGAAACATTATCAATGATCCAAACAAGTGCTTTTCTCATGGAACCTCTTAAACACCACATTATTTCTCTGTCTAGCTTCACAAAAGAAATTCATTACTTTATTAATATTTACTCAATATCCAATGCTGAATTTCTAAACTATATACCCAAAGGAGTTTTTTTTTTTTTTTTTTTTGTACAAGGTTATATAGGAATGGAACTTGAGACATTCTGCTATGAAAACCCAGCAGCTACCGTCTCGACCCAAACCCGATTCCTATCTACCCAGAGGAAGTTTCAAGACAAATATAGTCACAGCATGCAGTATCCCTGTGTGGTTCATCCACAATTTTTTGAATTTTCTTACATTCCAATTTGAGGAGAATGGCATTGGTTTGATGCCATTAGGATAAGGCAAATAGTTGGAATAAGGCTCGGATGATGATGACATTGGTTTGATGCCATGCGCAAAGAAGACTACTATTCTGAAAGATAACTTTTATCTCTTTAATGATTTAATAATTTAATTCATTTAAGGAACAAACCTTAGATTCTGAAGCTAAGAAATTTTCACACACTGACTTTCAATGAAATTAAAGCCCATAAGATGATTAGATAACCAACTGGAATTAAGTAACAAAAATTTTACTGGGGATATATGGAATTCAAAATGCACATTATAATCAATTAATGCCGCAATTAGCCTTTGGTAATATAGCTTTTACCAATTCCAATCTAGAATAATACATTATTGGTGTCTATAAAGTAGAGTCACCATGGAAAATTAGAGTGTCTAACTCAGGACTCAAACTCAAATGGCCAGCTCAATGGTTGGAAACGCAAAAACAAATCCAATTGGCACATGAGCAACTCAAGAAGGAAAACATTCAATCATTTCATGACACATACAGGAACTTTTCAGTATCAAATAATTAAATAAATAAAGGTGGAGACTCACTCTAGGGGGAGGCAAAAGTTGGTGTAGAAACCGAGTCACAAGGTTTTGTCAATAGGAATCACAAGTTTTTGTCATTAGAAATCTAACCATGCAAAGTCGCCCCACAGCTGGTGAACTATGATATTAAAGTTAAAAGCCAAGGATATCTCAAGAGATATTCTCAAACCCTCCAAACACAATTAAACGTAACCCAAGAAAGCCCAACATATAGCATGCCTCAAACACAAAGATGCATTGTTTCATCTGAAACATGAAGACTACAATATATTATGCTCTGATGGAAACCAAAATATAATACTCAAACAATAATGTAATAAAATAGAATGAGAGTTTAACATTCTAAAGACAACTTGTACGAACACCAGAATTCACTTCCCCATGACAAAGACAATAATCGTCATGTCAAAAAAAAAAAAAAGGCCATTGAACTTGTAGTTTTTGACTCCTGAAATGAATAGATTAGTCAATTTATATAATTATTGTTTTGCAGCCAATAATTAAACAAATAGCATGAATTAGACAGAATTAATTAGTTTGTACCTACCTTTTACAGTCGGTAAGCCAACAATACTTAACCTCTATATTTCACAGCATTATGTTTTGTGTGCTTTTCACTGCATCAAAATTTCTCAAACCTTCATAAATGTATACTCCTGCATCATCCCACTGGCCAGAATTCAAAGCCAAAATGTTATAATCAAACAAATGAGACAAAATTAGTCTACAAAAGAACCTGACTAAGTAAATTCCATTTAAATCGGCAACCGCTTTAAAAATGGCAATCAGAATATTGAATGTGTATAAATGTGTCATTAACAAGTGAAAATTGTTCGCGCCCAAAATTTGGGTATTATAATATAGAAAAAGAAATTTAGATAACAAAAAGAGAGCTAGAAAGCCAATATAGAAATAGCAAAGAAATATAAAATTTCTGGTCAAATTGAAAAGAGACAAAATGGGTCAAGTAAGCATCTCATTGTTGCATTCTCTAGTTCTTATATTTGCAAATTAAAAGGGGCAATATAATTAAAAACGCATACCGTCGCCCCTCGCACTTCTTGTGGAGACTCAATAATTTGCCCCTCCCACCAACACCTACATATAAACTAGAGCACCACGAAAAAGCATGGGGCCACCCCTCATTTAGTACTTTGCTAAAGAATAGTGAAGCTTTAGGGATGTGGTGGCTCCACAGTTCTTAGTGAGGTGCTCTATTTGGTGAAGTTATGTGGGTGTATATGAAAATGTAAGTTTAGTAATAATAGGAATAGAGATGAGAAAGTACTTAACATTGACAGCCAAGAAATACCAAAAAAACCGCATTTTCTATATCTTGGTCGATAATCCAGAAAAATAGCAAGATTAAGGAAGAAGTCGCACATAGAACTAGAGTTGGGTGGGCGAGATGGAGATGTGCAACTGGAGTTTTATGTGATCGCCGCATACCAATGAAGCTGAAAAATAAGTTCTATTGGACAGCTTAAGACCAGTGTTGCTTTATGGGGCAAAATGTTGGGCACTCAAGAAACAACATACCCATAGGATGAGTGGAGCTGAGATGAGGATGTTGAGATAGATGATAAAAAGACAAGAAGGGATAGAATTCAAAATAAATAACTTAGATGCGGATCTAATAAGCAATAAGATGAGATAATGTAGACTTCGGTGGGCTAGGTATGTGCAGCGCAAACCCAATACAACACTTGTAGGCTAGGCATGTGTGAGTTGGTTCAAGTAGAAAGCTCAAAAAGGACAAGGGATAGGCCCAAAAAGATATAGTTGGCAGTAGTGAGAAACAATATGGGGACGTATGGCCTCACTGAGGGTAATGACCATTGATTGACTAGAATGGCAGACCAGGATTCATATAGTCGACCCCAAATAATTGGGAAAAGACTGATGATGATGATGATGATACATGAAAATTTAATAATATGCAAAGAGGAACTACTTTTTCTTTTGAAAGGTAATATGCATGCAAGAATATCTAAATGGATGTAGGGAAGCAGAGAACCACTAAATGCAAAAGATTTGATATGCCTGGGAAAAATTATACTTTATCTTGCAGGAACTTCTAGAATAGATATGTCCACACCTTGTATCCAAGCTCAGTCCTCTTCATCAGTTATTCTGGTTGACAGAAGGTGAAAGTTCACTTCATCAGCTATGTATATGTATTCTCTTTGCTCTGATATAAGGAGAGGGCGAGAAACATATCGCCAATGATCCTAAAAGAATGCACCAATTTTCAGATGATGCTCATACTTTTTATAACAAAGATAAATAAAATTTTGGAAAAAACATCCACTTTTCCTCCACAACTTGTCCCCAAGAGTAAGTATCTAGAAAAGAATACAGCTACATTTAACTGCAATGACTTCCCCAACTGACTGTTCTGGAGATCCTAAAGTTCCCAAGAGAATAATATAGTCACTAAATATCTTCATTAAAACATATCCTATTTCCAGACCCATGAATTTCCAAATTCATATTTAATGTAACCAAAACATGTGACCTAAAGAATAAATTCGAAAATAGTGACTAATTAAATTCATCAATAAGTATACAAATCCGTTTAAAAAAAACATTTGAGAACTGTTAACTTTGTATATTAGTCAAAAGCGAATTTACATAAAATGTATACAGGCATCCCAGAAACAGGTGCTAAGAGTACCAAAAAAGCAGGGGGTGAGGAGAAGGAAAATTAAATACAATTACAAAAAATGGACCATCAAAGGGTCAGAAATTGTTAAAATCCGTTAAAAAATTCACTTACCAAATTATTATTTTCGTCAGTTAATTGCATGTGACCATCAATAGGTCCATTGCTGCTGGACGAAAGCCCAGTAAACAACTTTGTTGCCATCTGTTGATCGGGTGATTGAACCGTCACTGATCTCATGAAGGAAAAGAACATACAATTCACCAATAATCCCCACAAGAGCACACACCATTCTTGAAGTGATGGAATCTATTTGTATCTCTCACTATGATTTCTCTTTCTGTAACCAAAGATGCATACTTCAGAGCATTGTGACAATCTCCACATACTCTGAGATTCTTGACTATCCTTATGGGTGTACCACATGGAGTGGACATCAGTCCAAAAGCAACAGCCATCTTCTCACTGTGATGAAGAAGCCGATATTCCTTTTGCTTTTCATCCACATCATGAAGCACAAAGCTTGTATCTGGGACATAACCAGCCAATTTCATCTGCGTCACCAAGTTATCCAACTTCTCAAATATCTTCTCCTTTAATAGGTGTGCTCTATCTTCTGAAACAAACACGTGAACCTTGTCTTGAGCCTCAATCCAGCTACACCCTGGCTCCTTCTCAACACCCCTCTCTGCCATCAAGCTCCGTATGAATGCGGCATCACCCCACATCTTTTTTGAAGCATAAATGTTAGATAAAAGCACATAATTTGAAGACTCATCCGGTTCTAATGCCATACAATGATTGGCAGCTCTAACCCCAACCTCTATGTTCCCATGGATTCGACATGAAGCAAGAAGGGACCTCCAAATAGCAGCTTCTGATTTATATGGGGAATTCTCTAAAAAGGCTTCAGATTCATCTAAATACCCAGCTCGTCCAAGAAGGTCAACCATACATGTGTAATGCTCAATAGTGGGTGTGATTCCATAGTAGTTGGTCATAAGATTGAAATATTGCCACCCTTTATCGACAAGACCTATATGACTACAAGCAAAGAGGATGCCAATGAAGGTTATGGAGGTGGGTTTTACATTAAGGTGTTGCATTTCTTCAAATATTCGAAGAGAATGTTGACCCAGTCCATGCTGAGCATAACCCATTATTATGGCATTCCAAGAGACAACATTCTTCTCGGGCATTCTCTCGAAAACCTTGCATGAATATTCCAATTTCCCACATTTAGAATACATGTCAACCAGTGCACTTCCAACAAAGACAGTAGACTCTAACCCTAATTTGATCACATAAGCATGGATGTGCTTCCCTTGTTCCATTGCAGCACAACTAGCTGATGCTTTGAGAACACTGGTAAAGATGAACTCATCAGGGTCTTGTGAGAGTTGATGCATTTCCCGAAATAATTTTAGGGCGTTTTCTTCCTGACCATTTTGACTAAAACCTGAAATGATCGCAGCCCAAGAAATGGCATTTGGAGTGGCTATTGAGCGATAAGCCTTTGAAGCATTTTCCATTTGGCCACACTTAGAATAGAGGTCGACTAGAGAATTCCCTACCGATACATGTGAATCAAAACCAAACTTGATAACATGGTCATGGATCTGAACCCCATCAACTATGGCCTTGGACATAGAGCAAGAAGAGAGAAGGCCAGTGAAAGTAAATGGGTCGGGCCTCATGGGTTCTCTTCTCAACTTGCAGTAGACTCCAATGGCCTCTTTGTAAGAACCGGTTAAACTATAACCAGTAATGAGAGTGTTGCATGATACAAGGTTCCTTTTCCTCATCTCTTCAAAAACCCTATGTGCATCTATCATGTCAGAACTTTTGGCATACATGTCCACAAGGGCAGTGCCTACAAATACATCCGATGATAACCATCCAGTCTTGATCACTTGAGCATGGAAGCACCTGCCATAGCCATGACCATCACCAATTCCAGCCAAAGCTTTGAAAATGCTGGCATATGTGAACTGGTTAGGCACAAATCCTTCAATTTGTAACCGTGAGAAAAGCTCTAAAGCCTCTTCTCCAAGATCATTCTGAGCATATCCAGTGATCATGGTATTCCAAGAAACAAGATCCCTAAAATCCATGGTATCAAAAACCACTCGAGCTTCCTCCAAAAAGCTACACTTTGCATACATATCGATAAGAGACCCACATACAAACACATCCCAATCAAACCCAAGTTTCACAATGCAGCCATGAATGGACTCACCGATTATGTGAAACCCGATACCACCACAAGCCTTGAGAACACTAGCCACTGTAAAATTATTCAATTGGGTATCGCTTAATAACATCTGAGAAAGCATAGAAATTGCTTCTTTGTGAAACCCATTTTGTGAATACCCAGAAATCATAGCATTCCAAGATACCACATCTCTCACTGGCATCTCGTCAAAGACTTTCTGAGCATTTTGAATGAAGCCACATCTAGTGTACAAAACGATGATCCCACTACCTATGAAAACATCAAGAAAGAGGCCATATTTGACAGAAAGACAATGCAAACTCATCCCAAAGTCAAGCCTCTCCATTAACGAACACAACCCCATTACAGTTGCGAAAGTAGTCTCATTTGGCCTAACCCCTTCTCTCCTCATCAAACAAAAATGATCCAACGCTTGGTTTCTCTTTCCACTCTGAGCCAAACCAGAAATCACAGAGGTCCAAGAAATCACATTTTTTTCAGGCATTTTCTCAAACACTCTTTGTGCACCATTAAAGAAACCACATTTACTGTACATAGTGATTAAAAGGTTTCTGAAATGTACATCCAGTTTTATAGCACTACTCAGCATGTGATGGTGAATGGCCTTTCCTTCTGATAAAGCCTTCATACTGATACACCTATTTAGAAGTTTTGCGTAGGTTCCGTAATCTGGTCTTATTCCCTGCTTTCCAAGGATTCCTAGTATTTTAACAGCCACTCTCATGTGACCTTCTTCACATGATTTGTGCAGGTCCTGGATGGTTATTTCTCTATTTCTCTCTCTAGAATTCAGAACTCTTCTTGGTCTCTCTCTAAAGCTCAGAGTCGAAGAAATGAAGCGTAACCCGTTTTGGAGACACAGAGTTTGGCGGAGAAGAACTTGGGCTCTGGGTGAAGTATTGAGCATCAAAGTTGATTGCATTAACTGTAAATTTCCTAGAGAGAGAAAGATAAAGACGAATGCTCGATAATTTCTCGCTGAGGTTTATAGTAAAGAAGATGAACTGAAACACATCTCGGAAACAATATCCCTGAGGGATCAGACTAACCCCGAGTGAAATGTTGTTGAGCATGAAAGAGGACCGCGAATATTTCTCGAGAGAGAGCAACAACAAAGAGATTTTTAAAGAGAGGGTAGAGTGCAATAACAAATATATTTTTAGAAAGAGAGTGCAATAACAAATATATTTTTAGAGAGAGAGAGTTTCCTCTGCAAGTGCCGGAGCTTGGAAGCTCAGCGGGGGTAGAAAACTGTGTTCGAACTTATAGAGAGAGGAGAGAGGAAAATTTTCATTGAACTGCCTGAAACATATTCTGATTCCGTTTAAGTGCTTTCAAATCCACTATTGCTCCTTGTATGTTATCATGGAAATTAATATGTAGTGTTGCTAGTGTCAATAAATTACCACTTAAAATCAAGCTTTTTTTCTTATATAAATTGTGTTTAAGTTTAGAGTTATGATGTGATCTGGTGCATAAGTGCTATTATGGCTGTATTTATTTTTCGTTTATAGATAAAGCCACACTTAGGTTCATATTGCATTTAAATACGGTAGATCTTTCATAGGCTAAAATTTTAGAGAGAAGGTAGTTGGTTTGGACCTAGTGGTCGATCTAGGTCCACTTGACTTGGGCCTAATCTTGGTCTGGCTTGGGTAAGTATGCGTGTGTTCAATCCAAGATAGTGCATGTATGTCAACCCTAATTCAAGTCATGTCGGTCCATGTGCAATTGAGTAGATTTGACATAGTTTGGATTGGATTGTTTTAGATTGATCAAGGATGGATCAATCCTAACACTATTGGATGGGGTCCACCCAACTACTAGCTTTTTTGGATAGACTAACGTGATTGTATACTACAAGTTAATTTTATTTCGGTACAAATAGGTCATAATCACTCTTAGCATTGAATGTGAATGCGATAGATTTGAGTGTATTATAACTTTCAAAAAACTCTTTTTAGACTTTGTGTGCAATCAATGATACATCTCCAATCACCTGATTTTACATTTAATGATCAATAATAATTGTGACCTCCTTACACCGAAAATAAGTAATCCCACAATGTACATTTCTTTAATTAAATACTGGTTCATAATTCCAAACAGGCAGTAGTGATCAAGTGGCCAATTCAACCCAACCCAATCAAGCTACATGGCATTGTATATGCTCTACAGCATTGGGCAATAATTATTTTTGTTGTAGTGAGCATTACCAATCCTAAGACTCCAAGCTAAATGAAGAAAATGCTCCACCTGCCGTAGGTTCAGAGCAAGGCCAAGGTGTAGGGTACCCTACTCTAGAACGAAGAGGAACCGACATTTTGATTTGATTTTCCAAGGGATCGAATCCTTCAAACTCTTAAAATCAATGCTAAATACCAAAATGGCTTGTTCTCACAGTAGTAGTAGTGGTGGTGACAGCAACAACCTAGTAGTGGTACAACAGTAATTTTGTTGGTTGTAGTGGAGCTGGTAGAGTGTTGATACTGGTGGTCGTGGTTGCGGCAATGTAGGTAATGGTAGAGTGGTGGTGGAGGTGGCCATTGTTAGGAGGTGGTGGAGTGGTGGTGGTGGCAAAGTTGGACAAAAGCGGCGGCAAAGTGGTGATGGTGATGGTGGTGGTGATGGCAATGATGGAAACAACACGGATGGTGGAATGATGGTAGTGTTGGTGGTCTCTAGGCAGCGGTAGTAGTGGTGGGGAAGATGGCAATGGTTGTGGCGAAACAGGTGGAGGTATCAAGATAGTGCTTGCTACATGGCGGTGGTGTTGGAGTGCAATGTTAGTGGTGGCAATAGTTGTTGGAATAACCAGACCAATGACCGAAGCGGAAGCATAAACTAAAAACTCAACTTAAGAGCTAAATTACAATCGGAGATCAATTCAAATTTGTGAAGCAAACATCTCATGAGAGTCAAATTACTACAATTCGTTAGTGAAACATTTCAAATTACTGCAATTCGTTAGTGAAACATTTCAAATAGGCCCAAGTTGCAATTTGACCCAATAACCTTTTAAATTTGGGACATGGAGTTTACCACTAAGAAAATAAACCGTATCACATAAACATATCATAACTATAAGGGTGCAGTTGGCATACAGGTGCATCTGTAGCTGTAGAGGTAAGGTGCACCTTCAAATTTTATCATGGTTTTTAATTTTGATGTAAAATGTTATTAGGAATGTCTCAAAATCTATTTTTATATCTAATTATAAAAATTTAAATTTAAAAAATGGTTAAAATCAAGTAGATCTATAAACATATGAAAATCTTGAAAATGAACGATATAGATAATATGTTGTAAAATGCATTATTTTTTAGACTTAAAATTTTGTTATTTTTCATGGTCATACATCTCGATGTCGAGATGATCAATCAAATGGTTTTTCAACATTAAAAACTGCCTTTTTCCGATGGATTTTTGAGGTGCATTCGTAGTTCTACATTATAAGGTTGCATATTTATATAAATTTTTTCCTAAACTGTAGAAAGCACTACTTGATATTTGATTAGTATTATCAATAATTATGATAATAGTCTTGGTGGGAACATGGAAAATCACCAATTATTAGTTTTCATAAAGATATGCTTCATCTTCTCTAATTACATGAAAAATATTATTTTAAGTGGTCAAACCCCTAGGGATCAAATGATCCCAATCAACACAAGGGGATTTATTTTATAAACTCCAGCTAACTTAGGCACATTATCAACAAAAGTATTAAAAATATTCAAATAGTATTTATTTAGGGTAAACTCTGAATAAGAAGGGTCAGTTTAGTAATTTGATCCATGACAAATATATATCTCATGGTTTTTAATTAAAAAGAAAAAGTTTATATAAGTGTGAAGCTTTAAACAATCAAATTATGATGAACGTCAAAAATTTCACTAAAAGAAGTTACTTTGATGCTCAACTGACCTCAAATTGATCATCTCAACCTCAATATGCACGGACATGAAAAAAAAATGGATTTCTAATTTTGGAAATAATACAATATTTTTGGACCGTCAATTTTCAAGATTTTCATAGAACTACTCGATCAACACTATTTTTTAAGCTTTAAATTTCATAATTAAAGATGAAAGTATCTTAAGGTTCTCCCAAAGATTCCCAATATTGAAATCACATTTATTGACACTATTTGAATGTGTTATTTATTTTGATTGTTCAAAGCCTCAACTTTATACAAACCATACCCTTTAAAAAAAACAGGAAAATTGTTTAGTGCGGCCAAACCCGCACCCGCTACTATGCGGGCTAGAGATTTACACCATCCACCAAAACAAAGTCCCTTAACATTCCTCCAAAAAAAAAAAAAGTAAAATAAATTGTTCAAATAGTTTCTCTAAAAAAATATCACTTTTAGTTTTTTAAATTTATTTATTTTTACATATTAATAATCATCATATTAAAGATCATATATTCATTAAAAAATAAGATCAAATATTATTTTAAAAATTAATTATTAAAGGGCCCGTATTTTTACATGTGAGTCCGTGGCCCACAAGCTAACCGCGTCCTAAAACATATCCTTGTTTACGGGTCTGAACAAATATTTTGGGGTATTTTAAGATAGAGAAGTATATAATAACAAATATTTTAAGATAGAAAAAGTATATAATAAAACCCTCGTAGATTCACTTAGACGTTTTAACGCCCTTTGTTAGTTATTTTGTGGGGGCCTAACCCGCAAATCACAAATGATGTTTTCCCACTCCTTGTAGTAGTTGCTCAGTTCCTAATTTCCTACATTACTTTATAGAAATTAGGGTTTTGCTCCCCTCGCAAATTTGAGAGAAGAACTTTGGGGGGAAACAAAAAGGAGCTCAGATTCCTTTTTCAAATTTTCGTCCATCCCTCCCTTTTCTTCTTCAACTTCTAAAACCCTAACCCTAGTCTTCTGCAACTTCAAATTCAAATTCCAATGCTATTCTCCTCTTTCAATGAAAACCTTACACCAGCTTCCACCATTTGCTTACAGTTTCGGTAATCAAATTCTATTATACCCCCCTACCCCACCCCCCTCTCTCTCTCTCTCTCTCTCCCAGGGTTTTGTTTCTGGTAATCTTGTTTTTTCAACCTGAATTGCTCTCTCTGGCTTTGATTCGTCTTGCAAGCTTGAGTTTTGTACGAGTGTAGAGGTATTCTGTGGTCTCTATCTCATCACTTTCAGTTACGGGGTCTATTTCATTTTTTGAAGGACTAGTTGGACATAAACAGTCAGGTATTGAGCTCTTCATCCCCCACTTTCTCACATTACATTCTTCATTTTCTCCATCTCTGTTCTGCATCTGTTTCAGTTAAAGGCGTTGTTTACTTACACGAATCGTCATATCCAAGTTTCTCAATCATCATATCAGCTTTGCCATTTCAAGAAATTGTCATACTCAATTATCTCAAAGGTCATTTACTTTCTCAGCTTTGCCCTAGTTTCCTCCCCATTTCAAGACATATCCATACTGAATTCTCTCCAAGGTGTTGTCATCTTTGCCCTAGCGTACTCGCTTCACTTTCCATGGTCTCTATTTTGCTCAAATAGCGTAGAAGCAAACTCCCAAAACCTAAGAAACAGTCCCACCATTGCAATCACACTGAAATCAGAATTCGTTCCCCTAAATATACCTTAAACCCTGCAAAACCTAGAGAGAAAAAAATGAGTGCTTCAGCTCAAAGAAGTACAAAAACTGGAAAGCAATCCTTGTTGTTCAAGGACTTGGCTTCTCCCATATCCACTCAAAGGGGGAGATTCTCCACCCCTGGGCAAGCAGCTGCCGTTTCAGCTCTATGGAAAGAAAATTTCGGGGGTGCTGACCCTCCCCCTCCGCCGCTTTTTACCCTTGATGATCGAGTTGAATTTTCACCGGAACCAAGCATCGTCGATTACCCAACCTCACCCGAATTCAGGTCCTCTGGTCGAGATTCTCCCTCTCCAATGAGGGGCAAAATGGTAAATGGGTCGCTGGAGCATACCCCAAACCTCTCTTCAATGAAGGGCAAAATGATACATGGGTCACCCGAGGCCACCAGTTCATATGCCATGACACCTGGTTCTGGTTGGTGGTCACCTCCAAAAGAGGTCATTAATGGAGTGGAGAAGGGGAGGGGTTCACCTGTTACTGGTGTTGTTGAAGTACAACAACAAACTGTTGCTTTGCTTACTCTTCCACCCCCTAGAGAGGTTGCGAGGCCTGAATTGCAGAGGAATACTGTGCCTGTTGGTGATTTGGCTGAGGAAGAATGGGTTACAGTTTTTGGGTATGCTTTGTTCACTACTACACTTTGAAATTTAGCACAATTAAATGTTTAAATCATTTTATAGTTTTATAGTAATATGAGTAGAGTTAGTTTATAATTGATTTAATGTTTGATTGAATCAAGTATAAATGACTTAGATGTACTTCTGTTTATTTTAGGGTTTTATATTTTTCTAAAGATATTCTTCTTAGTTTCTCTATATTTTGTCATTTTTCCGACAGAAATGATGTTCAGATGGTTTTTCATTTTTTTACTTTCAGAGAACTTCTTGTTGTCTTCTACATGCATTTCTATTGTTTATTAATTTACTTTTTTCCTATTTTAACTGGTTTTTAAATAATTTTCCTTATTTTCTATAACTTTCTCTTTTCCATTTTTGAGCTTGGTGCGGACTTGAGCACGTAAACTCCGACTCTTCTGAGTAACTCGGCCAGGGCGGTGGCCGAGTTCTGCGGCCAAGCCAAGTAAAAAGCATTTCTACTAATTATTGATTTTGCTTTGCATGAGTGCATGTTTGCTATTAGCTCTTATTCAAGATCCATTTTAGTTATTCCATTATTGGCCGGAACTTTATTATTGATAATGAGTGGCAAATTTATTTCCATTGAGCCGTTTTGTGAATCATCATCTTCTTTTCTCCCCAGCTTGTAAGAAATCTGTTTACTTGGCAAATTGTCTAGGTTTGTCATGTATTTTGTCATCCTGTTTCTTCAAGTTCCCCGTGTCATTCCTTTTCCAAGCATTTCTTTAGGGCATGTTTGCCAAAACAAGATTTGAATATTCAAATTTTTAGAAATTTGAATAAAGATGTTACCTAGCTTCATATATATATATGAATTTTATATTTTTATACATGTTTGACTGCCTGTCTGTATTATGCACAATAATTAACAATTTCATAGAAGCACAACACAATGGGGAGAGAGAACATTTGCTTATTGTAGTAAGAGAAAGCCCTCTTCCTTTCACATCTCGATGTAGCTTCAAAACCATTACAGTTTTGCTCTCTCTACAAATACCATTAAAGCCATAGTTTATGAGGGTTCCCACATTAAGGGCATGGCGAACTCTCATAACCCATGGGAAAGGCTTTTTTGATGTTATTTAGGACAAGGAGAACACTGTTGCTTTTTCTTTAGAAATTGCAGATGAACAAAGTTTTGGGACGGTATCAAGGACTTCACCCTTAGAAACTAGTTGTGCAGAAGCTGATGAAGATTTTATAATAGGCCCGAAAATCTGCCTTGCAAAAGACTACGGAATGATCTCGAGTTCCCTTTATTCATAGATTTGGGTTTCTAACCAGTAGAAAGTCACAAACCAGACAAATTCTGAAACAAACCATAACCATTTACTCCAATCCAAAGAATGCAACAGAAAGTAGGTTGGCACTGAGACAGGAGAAGGGTTTTTAAGAATTCCAGGAGGGAGGGAGGATGCAAAAAAATAAAAAAAAAATGATGGAGAGGTTCAATCCCGCAAAATTCAACTGTAAGTTGGAATTTTTTGGGATTAGATATTTAGGGGGCTATTTGGAATTTTGGATATTTCAAGATATGATTTTACCCTATCAAACGTTGCACATAAAAAACGGGTAGGGGTCTGTCTTCCCCACTAAATTACCAAAAAAAAAAAAAAAGATTGCACGTGAACTAACATAATTAAGATTACAATAGATTCTATATTATTCTGGAATATTATGATATTAGGGTGCAATATGCACTCTTTAATGATATTTGGTTTCTAGGCATTTGTTGGCCATTGTGCTTCAAATGCATCTATGAATATTTTTTTTTTAATGATGCTGGCCATGCATTTATTTGCTAGTTATTTGGACGTTTCCTTGTATCCTAACTCATTTCCCTTCCTATCACCATCTATTACATTCTTGTTCTTGGATAATTCTATGAGCTAAGTTCCCCCCCTGTTAACTGTGTCACTTCCTACTCTTTGGAAAGTTTGATGAAGTAATATTTCAATAGATTTGAATTGAATACAAACTATTATGGACCTGATATGCCTCATTCATGTTCTCTATTCATTCTTGTTTTTTTTCAGTTTTTCCCCTGGAGATACCAATTTAGTTCTACAGGAGTTTGAAAAGTGTGGCATAATATTGAAGCATGTACCAGGTCCAAGAGATGCTAATTGGATGCACATCCTATATCAGGTTATCATTTTGTCCTCCATATAGGTAGATTATTGCTTTGATCTCAAGGGTAATCGTGATGTAATTATTGCATATTATCAAAAATGATAACATCGTAAATGATCGTGATCGAATATTCTCACTCATAAGCATCCAATGGTACCATTGTTTTTATACCATACTTGTCTCCATATTCTTTTCACTGATACTCCTTTAATTTATCTGCAGTCTCCGCTTATGTTTAATGGCTAAGAGTATTGTGATGGTTTGACATACTTCTAATGGGATGCTAATTGCTGTTTTGTTGTTCTCAGACCTTATGAGTTAAAAATATTGAAAAGTATGAACTGTTGATCCTGTCTTTTTCATTCAAAGTGTTTACCTCCATTTTCAAACTATTGCAACTATTGGAAAAAATTCACTGATCTTAGAAATTGTTTATTTTTTTTGCTTCCAATCTTGCAATACTACATCCCATGCATATGGAGTTCAAATCCCTAACCTCATCTATTTTCAAATTTCACACTCAGAGAGTCTTGCAATTGCACCCTCCTTTGCCCTTTTCCTTGAGTAATGCATTTTCCTTAAATATATTCTGGAGCTTTACCATTGAGTATGGAGGTAGTTCACTAACATTAATTAGATTTAGGTCTAAAATATGGAGTTGGTTGATTCATTTTGTTGTCCCTAACAAGAAATATACCTATGGTTACTCAAGGCAAATAGTAACTGCAACCCTGAATCTATCACTTATCTAAGTTTCGAATCATTCTTTTGTTTGATTTAGATTCCTATGTGCCCTGCTGTCAGAGTCCCATTGGCGTCCCTATAATTTCTAAACTTGTTTCGATGGTGGTAAGCTTTGCTTGTGCGACAACTTCACTTGCACTCGGGGGGATACCTAGTCTCATCTAAACCTTTACTTATGCCTTTTTATGTGTTAAACTTAACTTATGAAAGAAAACTTCTGCATGTGTTTGATGCATGGCTTTAGAGGAAAGCCATTCAAAATATAAAATTCCAACATTTTTCATTTCTTGCACATTATTTTGGTGAAAAATCAAGAAATGAGATGTGTTTGAAAGTAGTTTGTTGTCTACTAGTGCAATAATAAGTTCACATGTACAACAACCATATTTTCATTGTTAGCAATAGGCTGAATGACGTCGTTCATTATGTTTCAATGTTGTTCCTCTAGAGATGTACTCTCTCTACTAATTAGCAGGACTGTGCTATCTCTCTACTAATTTAGCAGGACTGTACTCTTTCTCGCTCTCTAGTAATTTACCAGGACTACCTAAGTTGCACACCTGCGAAATTCATATGACCATTCAATGGCAGTTTTTGTTGTCTATCAAGATAGCTTATCATACTCTTTATTAAGCGCTAAATCTAGAAAGACAAAGGGGATCCACTATTGTCACCATATGCTTATCATCAAATAATATTTGTTTAAACTTTTCTGCTTGCGTCACTGCACATGCTTATACAATATGTCATGTAATGATGGAAAAGGAGCAGTATAATTATCTTTACATGATTAGCCATGTTATTTTAGACACGCATAGCAATCCAATGATAGTACAAGCTATTGATTCCTAATTCATGATACTGTTTTTCCCACTTATTAATTTGTGATATGGAAAAACACCGATCCATGATGTTAACATTTATTCATAGCCTAAAAAAGAGACCTCTGTCAAAAGTGGTCTGTTCATGTTGTTGTTTAGCACGCCCTGTGATGAGGATGGCTGAATCATTATAAGTGATCCCCTATGTTCATGTTGAGTTACAATACCATCCAATGTTGGGGCTTCTTCTGACAAACAATTGATTAGAGAAAAAAGAAGAAAATAATATTATTGGTGTGGTTTTGTTGTTAGATAGGTTCGATAAGAATAAGTGCCTGGTTCTTGATACGATAACTACAGTTCCTCCTAAAATAACTGAGCAGTTTCACTTGATATATGTTTCTTCAATCATGTTGCTTAAGTTTGTTGAAAGTTACGCAGCGTACATTGGCTACCTCAAGTAATTCAGCCAGTATTATTTGTCCTTATGGGAGAACATTTGTTGGGTCCATGTACTTCGCATAAGATCTACATGTATGTACATGTATATATATATATGTGTGGGGGGGGGCATATACAGTATGTTAGAATTGCTTGCTTACTTTTAATTTGAGCTTAGTTGATTTCTTCCAAGATTTCTTTGTATGTGAACTGCCCCTGATCTCTAAGATATAATTGTATTCAGAAATTGCATGCTGTATATTGGTGTTGATGCTGTTCTCTCTCTTTCTCTCTCACAGAACCGATTTGATGCCCAGAAAGCTCTTGCGAAAAATGGAATGCAGATAAATGGATTGCTTATTGTTGGGGTGAAGCTATTGGACCCCGTTCAGAGGCAAGCTCTAAGTCAGAAGCCCATAAACCATGCCTTTATGGTTGTGCCCCCTCACTCTTCAAGTAGGAGCTCAACTCTGAGCTTTTTGAGGGCCTCGTCCCGACCTTATTATTTACAGTCACAAGATGGAAATCAGCGTAATGCCGGGGCAATTGCTTCGCCTTCAAAGTCGGTCGTCTCAAAAATTATGGATTTAATGTTTGGCATCTGAATGAGTGCAATTTCTGGGCACCCATTGATGAGGCCTCTCCCTAATCTTTTTGGATTGGATCTGTTAACTTAAATTTTGCCTTCAGATGATGTGTGTGTGTGTGCATGTTCGTGAGAAAAGGAGACGGGAAGGGGGGGGGGGGTGGGTGGGGGAATTTGAGGTTAAAGCAAGCAGATATAAAATGTATATGTATGTTAGATATTGAGTGTGTGGTGGGGGCGGGAGGTGCAAATTCATGTTCCAGTTATAAGGAGAGAGAGATAGAGAGATGGCATTTGTAATCGCCAACGGAAGGTGAGATCCTCTCCAGGGTTTGTTGTTATGATTTAATTTGTGTGAGAGAGATTTTGATTCAATGCAATTGTCATGTGATTAGCTTTCTTGGTTTCCTTAGGTGGAGTTCTTTGGGGAACATTCTTATTCTCTCTCTTATCATGTTTCTTAGTTGAAATTTGTCAAACCTTTTTCACTGCTGATGCATTAAAGTGCATTACCTCATAAAGCTCCTAGATTGGTCAATGGGTTAGTGTTTGGTAAGGTCTCATGCAATGGAGCAGATATTTCAATAGGAAATGAAAGGAAAGGCATGCTCTAAGGCCATTTACTTTTGGTATAAAGAGCTCACTATAAGAATTTTTCATTAAAAAGTCGAATTTCTCTTTTGAACTTTTGTAATATAACTTCAGTTGCTTGCTTTGAAATTTGATGGCTAAGAATGTGACCTTGTCGTAGGATTAGAGAATAATATGATATTATGCAACCCCAGTTAGTTGGGAAAAATGGTGTTTTTAAAATTTGTAGGCCTTATTTTACAATTGGTTTTGTGTTGAGAGGTGTCTTTCCTTGACTTAAGCCTCATCTCTGTTTCGCTTGAGAGGTCAGAGTCTAATGGAGAATGCCACTCTTTATAATTACAAGGTGGTCATAATTTATTATAATTATATAATTACAAAGTTCGAAATTTTTTTTTTTGAAATTTATGTTTAATCCATAGAATAATTGTAGCCACCCAATTTCCCATTCAATAGTCAAAATTAATGTGATAACTTTGTATCAAATGTAAATGGTCTCATTCTATACTTTCTCTTTTTCAATTCTTATTAAAGATTATCTTACAGAGAAACTATCTTGGTTCTTTCATTATTTCCAAACAGAGAGGGAGAGAGAGGGGCTTCATAAAGGCATCGTAATTTTGGAAAATGGTTTGATAGGGCAGTAGTTCCATCAAAATAAGGAAAGCCTCACCTAATAACTTATTGAAAATTGTAACCCAAGCATTGGAAAATCTTTGCATGGATCATCTCGACTTGAACATTATGACTATGAAAAAATTAGAACTTCAAACTTTAAAAAATAGTGTATATTTTAACAAATTATCTAGACTATTTATTTCTCCCTAAAAATAAGTGTTCAAAGATCCGCAAAATCAGTAATTTTTTGAGTTTCAAATTTTATTGTGGTGTTAAAAATTGATTCTAGAACCATTATGAATATTTATGTGGCCAAAAGTGCTTTCCAAACAAGGATTTGAGGTGAGACTTTATTTGATTTTCAAGCCTAGGCTTTATAAAAACCTCTTCTCTTAATTTTTGCCCAATTTCTCTAAGGAGGGAGAGAAGGAGAGGGGAAAGGTTTCTACATCATAGAAGTTCTATCCTTCCCCTATCATCTAGCCGTCCAATTTTTTATCAAGAGAGCCACTTATCATTTGATATTAGATACGATATCTCAAAGTATTTTTTTTTTAGTTTTTTTTTATAAAAATTGTATGCATATGAAATTTGATAAGTGCCATCTTTTCATTGGGATGCACTTATTAAAAATAATTTTTTGATAAAATATAATGATCAAAATACCACTTAAAACTTTTAAAGGTATTTTAGTGACTATCGAAAATGTTTTTTTTTATATTTTTGGCTAGTTCGAGTTTAATAGAAGATTGAACGTCCAAAATTTGGTATCAAAATAGTTTATAGAAAAAAATTTAAAAATAAAGTAGTGTAGAGAATTGTCATTGTGATTGAAACAATCTTAACCCTCCATTCAAAATGGACGGTTGGATAAAGGAGGATATAACTTTCTAGGGGAATCATAGAAAGCTTGCTCAAAGGAGAGAGCACAAACGCATGTTGGTTTTTACCCAACTTCTCTTCAAATCTCGCCCTTTTCTTTCATTGCCCTTTTTGGATGATTTTCTCTGTGCACTTATACTTTTCCAACTCCTGAAGTCTCTATTCTTTTTTCCCTCTCTCTCTCAATCCCCATATTTCACTCTTCTCCTTTCATTCTCTCTCTTCTATCCAAACCCCAATTCCCATCTCTCTAGTCTCCTTTCAAATGGCAGATAACCCAGAAGAGGCTCCCAGTAATGGGGCAAAAGCAGAGGAGGTATTGAACAATGGAGCAAAAACGGAAGAAGCACCCGAAGATAGTATTGATTCGGCCAACTACCTTGATCTTACAAGCTTTCAACTCCATGACTTACAGGGAGTCGAACTCCCATCGTCTCTTGTAGAGCTTGACTTGACTGCAAATCGTTTATCTTCACTGGATCCCCGAATTGGGCAGCTAAGGCAGCTGAAGAAGCTTTTTCTCAGGCAAAATCTCTTCTCTGATGAAGGGGTTGAGCCGCTTTGCCATTGGACTGCAATTTCTGGCCTCCTGGTGAGCTCTTATGAAAACCCACAAACTCATATTGATTCATTTTGGTTTCTTTCTCTGTTAGTTTATTTATTGATGAAAGCCCGCATTTTGTTTTGTTGATTTTGAACTTTTTTTTATTGATTCATTCAGTTTGTTGGGTTTGATTCCTAGCATAAAATCCAAATTTTTTCTTTTTTATCTTGACATTCTTATGATTAAATTTGTTTGTTTTTTGAAGAAAAACGATTAATTTAGTTGATTTGATTATTTCATCAATTCATCTATGATGAATAACTAGTTTGACTAGCTTGTAACTTGTTCATTTTAATCACTATAACTTTTCTCTCTCAAAAAAGAAGAAAAGAAAGAAAAAGAGAAAAGAAAAAACTAGCACCATTCTGTTCCATCTTGATAAAAAATACTTGTTTCCTTCTGTTAATTTCTGTTAATTCATTTTTTTTCTCCATCATCTGTTTCTTAGTTGATCTGAACGGGTTACTATATGTCCAGTATTTCCTCAATGCTATAAATATCAAAAAAAAAGAAAAGAAAGTGCCAACTATAGCTTGCCAATGATGCCAAGAATAGCTATTGGGCTGTAATTATTTCTATTATTTTTCATGTTAATGGTCATTTTGATGTTATTGTCTGGTGGTAGTATTATGAATAAAAATGCTGCTACTGATACAAATCAGGATAGTTATGGTCAAGATATTGTTTGAGGAAACATATCTCATTTGCTTTGTTTGTTTGAATCTTTCCATTTCCTTGTGATAATATTAGGTACATGATATTGATAAATGTTTCTCATCTTTCTTTGTCTTTATACTCTTCTGTCTTGAAAGGTTTCTGGGTATCTACTACATAGTTGGACTTCCTTTATCCATATCTAAGAATATCTAAGCGTGACGGTTTTTGCTTTGTTGTTTGGTTTTCCTTCACTTTTTGGAACTTGACGTTGTCATATGACCTCAAATCCGATGTTTAGTTTTGGGTACACAATTGGCGGAATGGTAGATGCCTCTTGGAGACATTTTATGCCGCTATGGAACTCATTATTCAAAAAAGAGATTAGGGAAATGGGAACATTTGAAAGACTACAATAAATTGTATGAAAGAACACAATATAGAAACATCAGAGACATGGATGAGAAATTGGGGATTCTCATGCATGAAAATGTTTGGAGCATCATATGGAAAAAGCATAAAGTAGAAGAAAATGGTGGCTTGGAATCTTGTTAGAAACACTTTGGGAAACTTGGAAAAATGTCATTGATATGTGGTGGAAGGGCATGGAATACAAGGAACGTATATTGGAGGAAATTCCAGGGAGAAAGCACAACAATTAGAAAATAATCAATTATAGATACTGGACCATGATCACTTCCTTAATATGTTTGTGGGGAGATGCATTTCCCAACTGCGGAGAAGTTCTCCTTCAGCAAGGTTGGTCGCCACAAAAATCAGACTAACCTTGGCAATGGTGGTGTAAACCATTGTGGCATCATATCCTTAATCGAGACAAGTGTCACCCATGTACCGTGCAGTCGGCAAAGGGCCAATATAATAACAATTTCTTAAATTTTGTTGTTCTTTTTAAACAGGAAGCATATGTAGGGATGAGCAGGCATCTTTCTTCCAGATGATCGATTGTCAGCACCTTATCTACCCCGTCTAACCATTAGAAACCTTGAGTCTTATGGGGGCCTAGGATTGACCAAACTCTTTGAACCACATAGTTTCCAGCACTACACCTTTTTAAGATTTTATACATTGGCATCACTTAAAGCACTCCTTTACTCTGTGGTTCCCTGATCAAAGCATCATTGCATCTTGGCAAGTGAAAGAAACTCTGCAACTGTTAGTCTTTCTTTGTATGAGCTGTGATCTGATTGTCCTTTAGAGCATGATGCAGGACAGGAATCCATATGGCATCTAAACCTGAGCCTTTCCAGAGTCTCTTCTATGTGAGAGGGGAGCTTGGAGACGGCAGACAAACACGCGATCACTGGCTCACTCCAAACCCTCTTAGCATGGAATCCCTGGCCTTATTTACTTTGGCTACAAGACCTGATATCACAGTAGCTGAAGTATCTGAAGAAACTGGGCATCAAACGACTTGGACACCCTGCCTTAGGAGAGCACTCAAAGAGGAGGACACTGAGGTCTTTACCAAGCTGCAAAGGGACCTCCCCAATTTGCTCTTCATGCCAAGCAAATAAAATCTGCTGATTTGGACCCTGATCCCAAAGGTGTCTTCTCAATGAGATCTAAGCACTGGATTTTAGAGTGGTGTCCGGAGGAAAATTTAGTTGTTTCCAGAGTATTTTCAATGCATGAACATCCAAAAGTCCAAGCTTTTGGCTGGTTAGTGGCTCTGGACAGAGTATGGACTATTGTTCGTCATCTTATGAGAAGAGGCTTGTGAATCCCCAATGCCTGTATCTTCTGCAAGGGTGGCGTTGAAGGAGTAAATCACTTCTTGCACTGCCACTACGCTGGAAATATTTGGTCCTTTGTTCTGATTCCTTTTGAATTCTCATGGGTCCAACCTGTCTTTGTTGAAGCTCTTTTAGCTCATTGGTCTGCCGCTCCTTTGCTCAGAGTGGAAGTGGGTCTCATTTTATGGTGACTTCACATAACTAGCAGTCACTGTGGAAACTTCGGTTGGAAAGAAACAATAGGCATTTGGCATTTCGGTAACAAACATAGAGGGTGGATATCATAGGGAACAAGTCAGATGTGCAGTCTTTTCATGGGTGAGGTCCTGGGGTTATAGTCTGACGGACTTCTAAACAAACTGGAAGGAAATCAGTGGGGCAGAATTGTAGAAGCCAGGAATGTCATTGCGGTGGAGTCATCCACCGAAGGGGTACCTTAAACTAAACTTTGATCGATGCTTGAAGGGCAACCGATGTCTAGCTGGGATAGGAGGTTTGCTGAGGAACCATCAAGGCAGGAATGTAGTGACCTATTATGGGCCCCTGCATGTCTGTTGCTCAAATGTGGTGGAGGCAAGGTCACTTCTTATTGGATTATGGTATCTACAAGGCAGGAGGCAGTCCTCGTAGAGGGAGACTGCCTCGATGTCATCAAGTGGGGGGCAAGGAGGCTTGTCCATGAAAGATAATGGAAGAAATGTTGGAGAGTGTGGCTAAGTTGAAGGTAACTTGTCATGTAGAGAGATAGACGAAGAAGCAGACGCTTTATCTAGAGAGAGAGTTTCCAAAACTATAATTTTCACCTTGTTTTTCTTCTTCGGTCTTAGTATATTTATATCGTCTGGTGTACATGAACTTGTCTCTTGTACATCAATTTTGGAAATCTTTGAAGTCTGGTTACTCCGGCCTTGTGGCCAGAGTATACATCTCTGGGTACGTTTTGCTAAGCGGATGTGACCCCAACTATTTCTCTAACCCAACTGATTGAGCCTGCCATTGCCACCTGCATTCTTTGTAAGTTTGTATTTGCTTATGAAGGTAGGCCAACTGCTATTGATACGATTCCACGCCCTATATAGCTTGACTTTTGTACGATGTTCTTTTACGAGCCTTCCATAATCATCCTCATTGTGTTTACTCAACACTACCCACTTTCATAGGTGGACTGGTTCCATCCCATGTTTCCACCACCACTTTTTTAACAGAGCCTGAGACTTCTGAATCAGCGTACCCTTACCTTTTGGCTTGCATACACTAAGCCAACTCACTAGGTGAAATCTTTAATTTTCATCGACCCAATCCATAAAAACTGTTTCCTTAGCCTCTAAATTGTATTTGCATCTGCGGCTTGAATTGAGAAGATTGACATACAATAAACAGGTAGATGCTGACCTAATCAAGGTAATCCTTCCTCCCATTGAAGGCTTCCACAAGCCTAGTTCTATTAGAAACCTATCAATCACTGTTCCCCGCATTGCTTTTGAAGCTTTGCGTATGGTTAAACCATCTCCCGATCAAGGGTTGGTATTTTGTCTAACTGGGTGTCTTAGGAAATTAAGTCTTTAAATGGTTATACTGCTCACTGATCTAGGATTTTAATTACTATGGTGCAGTCGTTTATTGAATGGCGGATGCCTATTGAGGGGCAAGCTTTCTATGCTTCCCCTACAACATAAAACTTATATACTTCCCCTTATCCAACCGTCCATTCTGAATGGAGGGCTAAGATTGCCCCAATCACAACGTCACGTCTCTACACTATTTTATTTTTAAATTTTTCTATAATCTATTTTAATTACTATGGTGCAGTCGTTTATTGAATGGTGGATGCCTATTGAGGGGCAAGCTTTCTATGCTTCCCCTACAACATAAAACTTATATACTTCCCCTTATCCAACCGTCCATTCTGAATGGAGGGCTAAGATTGCCCCAATCACAACGTCACGTCTCTACACTATTTTATTTTTAAATTTTTCTATAATCTATTTTGACATCAAATTTTGGACGTCCAATCGTCTATTAAACTCGCACTAACAAAAAATATTAAAAAAATATTTCCAATAAAATAAAATGACCAAAATACCCCTGAAATTTTCAAGGGGTATTTTGGTCATTATATTTTATCAAAAAAATATTTTTAATACTTTTTATAGGTGCACCCCAATGAGAAGATGGCACGTACGAATTTCATATTCATACAATTCGTATAAAAAAAACTAAAAATAAAATACTGTGAGACGTCGGATCTAAGATCAAACGGTGAGTGGCTCTCTTGATCAAAATTGGACGGCTGGATGCTAGGGGAAGCATAGATCTTCTATGCTGTAGGGGAAGTAGAGAAACCTTTCCCATCTCTATAAATATCTTCTTTTGAGAGCTTTGTTTTGTTTATTTGTGATCATATTAAGTACGAAAAGAACCAATGAAAGAAATAAAATGGATGTTAGAGGAGTTCTTCTCTTATTCATGTTTTATTGGTTTTGGGGGTGGTGATTCGTACAACCCGATAAAAATGATGAGGGCTGAAGAAAGAAATGATGACGATGTTGAATGAGCTGAAATGTGTTCTTTTTGAGACACTTCTACACTGCCATATAACCACGTAAGATGAGTTTGAGAGACACCATGTAAACTTTATCACTAATCTTGTAACCTTTGCTTTACCCTGGATATCTTATAATTCTGGACAAAGTTAGTCTTTATTACTATTTTTATAGTTCATAATTACTTTCTCATCCTAATATTTTTTTCTCCACCCTGAGTTATCACTTAAGTTGTTCTTATTTTCTACCTATTTTTGTTTGTAGTTTTTCATTGTTTTATCTTTAATGTTATTGATAAAGCTCTATCCTTTTTTCTTCACTCTGATTGACAATTTTTTTTATGGGCTTTTCTCCCCTTGTTTTTGTGCTTGATAGGAACTTGTGCTTAGAGATAACAAGCTTACCAAGATACCAGATGTGAGCATTTTCAGAAATCTTCTTGTATTTGATGCATCATTCAATGAGATCTCGTCCTTGGAGGGTGTATCCAAAGTTTCAAGCATGCTTCAAGAGCTCTATGTTTCCAAGAATGAAGTGACCAAGATGGTGGAGCTTGATCACTTACATGAACTAAGAATTCTTGAATTGGGTTCAAACAGATTGCGGGTGAGCACTTGACTATTCTTATGAGGGAAGCATGCTAAGACCCACCATTGGGTCGTGTCCTTTCTAGTGGATCCCCTCTCTCTCCTTGACCATTTATCATTCATCAAATGCTCATAATCCTAGTGAACTATGACTTCCCATAATTCATTGGACTTAATATGCTTTCCTTTTTGAAAAGGCCCTATTATACTGAGCTATGTATAGTGCCTCTTTTGGGCAACTTGGAGCTCACTGTCTTTCTTGTTTTTGGTAATTGTTGTGGAAAATCTTCCCAATTCCAGGTCATGGAGAACTTGCAGAATTTGACAAACTTGCAAGAACTCTGGCTTGGACGAAACCGTATCCGAGAAGTGCAACTTTGTGGGCTGAAATGCATCCGTAAATTTAGCTTGCAAAGCAACCGTTTAACATCCATGTTGGGATTTCAGGTATGCAAACCTCTCTCTCTCTTTCTCTCTCTCTCTCTCTATCTCTCCCCCCATGCACACGCACACAGACACATATTTATGGGTTTTCCTATTATTCACACCCCATGAAATTCTATAGGTTATATTTAGGAATTACCTTAGTTCATTTCTTTATTCCAAAACTGTAAAACAAGTAAAGGCACTTTTGTCATTAAACAGGGTATTGCTGATAGTTTTATTAAAAGACGAGTGTAAATATGGAGTGATACTCTAGGTTCTTTATTATTACAATTGCCCTTGTCTTTTAGTAAATATTTCAAGAATGCCCTTCTTGAGATGACAAACAACTTTGCCTTTTAGTAAAGATATTACTAACACCCTTCCCAATGATAAAAATGCCCTTATTATATAAATCATGGAATAAAGAAAGGGTACTTTGAGTAGTGTTTACCATTCACATCCCTTTTTAAATGTAACCTAGTAGGGTTTAATGGGAGAAGACTATGATGATTATTAGGGGTTGTGAACAATAGAAAAACCCTATATCGTCAACATCATCCAAGCCTTATCCCTATTATTTGGGTTCATCTACATTAATCTTGTTCCTCCATTCTTTTCTATTAAGAGCCATACCCTCATTAAGACCAAAAGTGACCATATCTTTTCTCACTACTATCTATGTGTCTTTTGGGCCTTCCCCTTACTCTTTTAGAACTTTCCACTTGAACCAAGTCGCACCTCCTAACTGGTGTTGTATCAGGTCTATACTGCACATGGCCAGCCCACGTAAGTCTACTTTCCCTTATCTTATCGACTATTGAAGCCACATCTAAGTTCCCTCATATGTATTCATTCTGAATTATATCATTTCTTATTTTGCCACTTATCTTTCTCAACATCCTTATTTTAGCTATGCTCATCATATGGGTATGTCGTTTCTTGACCGCACAACATTCTATCCCATAAATCATAGTTGGTCTTATAACCATCCTATAGAACTTCCCCTTCAATATCAATCGTATGCAGCAATCACATAAAACTCTAGATGCACATCTCCACTTTGCCCACCTAGTTCTAATTTTATGTGCGACATCGTCTTCAATCTCTCCATTCTTCGAGATTATCGTCCTTAGATATCGGAAACAATCTCTTTTAGGTATTTCTTAACCATTAATCTTAATTTTCTCGTTTCTACTCCTATTATTATTAAATTTGCATCCAATATATTTAGTTTTAGTCAAGCTAGTTTTAAACCTTTAAATTTTATAGCATCCCTCCAACGTTTTATTGCGTTGATACCGCCTCTAATCTCATCGATTAAAACTATATCATCCGCAAACAACATACACCACAATACATCATCTTGCTTAGTTAACTCTTTCATAACCAAAACAAAGAGCTATGTGCTCAGTGCTGACCCCTGATATAGGCCCATTGTCACTGAGAACTCATTTGTCTCTCCACTAATTATCCGCACACTAGTTAATGTTCCCTCGTACATATCTAATCTCTAGTGACTTCTTTCTTTTCCAACACCTACTAAATTAAAAAAAAAAAGGAAGCCAACACACACACACACACACGCACACATATATATACATATATGCCTCTCTTTCTTCGATTATCTATCTATCCATACTTCTTTGTCTCTCTTCATTTGGTTATCCTTAATTAATCAAGATCAGGATATATATATGGAAAAAGCTGGGATTAGCCTACTAGCTCATATGAACATATGAGCCCAACGGCCCAGATTGAATCTAGGCCAATCTAACGATCAAGGATGTCCGGTAGTGTTTGAATTTTATTTTATTTTCTACAAATCCAAATCACTTTGAAATTTTAGACGTGTGTTCATCAAAAATAGGGGAATCTTCGAAAAATATCAAAAAAATATTTTACAATAAATAAATTGACCAAAATACCCCCAAAAAGTTTTGGGGGTATTTTGATCATTTTTTCACGATAAGTTTTTTTAT